ACACCGACCTGCTCCTGGCCGGGCCTGGACACCCCAGTGTTTTCTCACTGCCGCCCGGACGTCTGGGCCTGGGTCTCGAACCCCGTCCAGAGCTGCAGTGAAGGAGAAAAGCAGCCAGGCGGCCAAGCCCACGCCGCCCGGGGCACCTTCTGGCTGGGATGGGAAGTGTGTGCGCCAGCAGAGCTGTGACTGCCGTGGACTGGAGCGTTACGTGTGTTAACATCCACTCGCACGCGTCACCACCCACCGCAGACCCAGTGCCTTATAAACCACGGAAGCTTATTTCTCACGGTTCTGGAGGCTGAAGTCCAAGGTCAGGGTGCCAGCCCTGTCGGACGAGGGCCCTCTCCCGGAGGCAGACACTGACTTCTGGCGGTGCCCGCACGTGCGGGAGGGGGCTCTCCGCTCTCTTTTCCGAGGGCGCTAACCCCCTTCACAGGGGCTCCACCCTCACGAGCGCATCACCTTCCCAGAGCCCCACCTCCTGATCCCATTGCCTTGGGGTTTGCTTTCACCAGGAATGTTGGGGGGAGACAGACATTCAGTCCAAGGCAGAGGCTGCTGGAGGGCAGCTCAGGGCCCTCAACCCCGGGAAAGGGACCGGCAGAGCACAGACTCTGAGGCAGAGGCCGGGCTCCGGACCCGGCCCACCTCCCACAGGGACGTAACACCGCCAGGGCGGGGAGCAGGCTTACAGCTGTGAGTGCGCCAAGCACAGCCTTCGTTCTTTTATTGCTTAATTACTGTTTTGTTTTCCATGTGGGCACTGTAAACCTACTTTTGCCCACCCCGGTATACGCTCCTGGGACATACGTGTGCCATAAAGGTTAACTGTAAACGTCACCCCCCACGTCCTCCCCCGAGCTGCTCCCCTGCTCCCCGACATGAGCCCCGACCATCAGCCAGGCCCCCGTGATCTCAGAGTTGGTTTCCAAATCCCTTCTCACCTCCCTGCACCGTCTTCGTGAGGTGGGATGTGAGGCCGACCCAGGTGAAGGACCTAGAGCAGTGATGGCGAACCTATGACATGCGTGTCAGAGGTGACACACGTGTCAGAGGTGACACACGAACTCATTTTTTGGTTGATTTTTCTTTGTTCAATGGCATTTAAATATATAAAATAAATATCAAAAATAGAAGTCTTTGTTTTACTATGGTTGCAAATATCAAAAAATTTCTCTATGTGACACGGCCCCAGAGTTAAGTTAGGGTTTTTCAAAATGCTGACACACCGAGCTCAAAAGGTTCGCCATCACTGGCCTAGAGAGCCACGCGGGGCAGCGGGCACAGGTTCCAGCGGGCAGTGGGGCCCGGCAGGGCAGCCGGGCGGGTGGGAAACAGGAGCCAAGCGTCAGGGCCTGGGGGTGCCCGGCTCCCCGGCGGCACAGCGGTCTGCCCTTCGCTGCTGGGGTCCAATTCCAGCAAGTCCAGGGGTCCCCAAAGGTGTGGACAGAGTCGGCGAAGAAGGAATGACACGGAGACAATGTTCAGTTGATCAGCAGCCTAGCCAGGATCTCCAGCCAAGTTCTGGTCTGGATCTCCAACGAAGTTCTGGTTTGGATCACCAGCCAGGTTCTGTGTCCATGTTCCCTTGCTAGGTTCTCCAGCCAGGTTCAGTCACCAGGTTCTAGTCAGGTTCTCTTGCCATGTTCTATCCAGACTCTGTAGCTAGGTTCTGTCTCTAGGTTCTGTGTCTAGGTTCTGTGT